AATTGCTGCGAGGGTACAGGAGGCCAGGGAGGGTGAGAGAAGCCCCTGGGAAGGGCTCTCCCTGGTATCCTCCCTCCCACCCCAGGGGGAAGGGGCCAAAACCGTTGGGCCATGGCATACTCTGGTTGCTTCTTGGTCTGAGGAACAGCAGCCTCCTGCCGGCTTTGGCAACATCTATACTTAAACCCGCTATACATCGAGCTTGGATCCATTGCTTAACTACGAGGTCATCATCAACCACTCCTTGTGGCCCAGGGCTCGTGGAGGCAGCTGGTGAAAGGCGGAGGGGTTGGGGAAGTGCCACAGGCTTCCTCGTCCCCGCAGCACACAGCCTTCACCTCAGCCTGACCCGAAGCGTGAGGGCCATACCTTGCCCCCTGCTAATTCGCAGGTACAGACCAGAGGGATTTGTCCCCTCTCTCCCCCCTTTGGATAATCCTGTACTTGGAGAGAAATAGAAAGCAGGGCCCCTGTGTTTTCAACTCCACTGAGCTGAAAAGGGAAGCTAGTGATGTGGAAATTAGGTTAAACCGCCTAAGTAGGCAGCTTTCTGCATGTTACTAATCTGGCTGCTGCATATAGCAGTGTTCAAGTGAATTTCAATCCTGTGGGTAACTTGGGGACAAACCCAGTGTCCTCTGCTTGGTTTGCAGGCCAGCATGGGAGAGAGGGGATGGAGGGAGACTTTGGCTGCAGCACCTGATTTACAGTGTAGGTGTCACCATGCCCTTTGAGTAAGTAATCCATTGCTGTTCTCTAGAGCTATCTAAACACCTCCCTCTGTTTTCCTGTTGCACAGGGGTGCATGGGCTCGATATTGCACCTGCAAGCTGCGCCAAGAACAGACCACCAGCCTGGCAACTCATCTGCACTGGGATACAAGCAGCAGCTGCAAGCATTGAGCTGTGCAGTACTGGTACAGGTGCTTTAAAAAAAGGAGTGACTGATCTCTAAGGGCACATTAAACGGTCCAGGTGAGAACAAGATCCTATGTATTGCAGGGCTGCAAGGGGCAGAGGCTGGACATCAGAGTGGTAGGCAGGTGGCTGACCAAGAAAATACCAGCTGCTGATCAGCACAGGCCAACTGGAAGACTGCACTCAGTCTCACCTTGCTATTACCTCCAGGCACTAATTAACCCATGCTTTGTTAAACAGGTTATTATTAGAGAGGTGCTTGGAGGAGAGCCCCTGGGACATGTCCCACTTACTTACTTACAATTGACAGCAACAGCTCCAAAGCCTTGCTTAGACAGCGTCAGGCTGCTTCTAAAGACCTAGTGCTGGCACCTTCACTGCCTGTTGTCAGGAGCAAGAGCACATTGAGGAGACAAGCATCCTACCTTGGTTTATACTCAAATACATTGGGAAAAGTGGCACAGTAGCTAATGGTTCAAAGCTTTGGCTCGCTAAACCAAATTAAGGGCTATGCAGAGGAGAATTTGGCAGTGGTATTTTGCAAGGAACTAGATAATTGCTTCCTTGTCATGTGCAATTACTCAGCAGGCTTGGGGAAGGTAGTTTATTAATAGTTTACCTACTAGAGGCACAAGGAATGAGAGTTGAGTCTCTAGGGTGATGCCATTAAGACCTAACACATAAATGGAGAAAAACGGTGGATGAGAAGCAGCTAGAGTGAGATTAGGTGCAGGAAGAAAAACAAATGGGAGAAGAAACAGCCTATCTGTAACCCAAAACACAACTAAGGTGGCCATAAGTGCAAGAAGGATAGACTGTAAGAAGGGTTGGACTTCCAAGTACTGCAGAGGAGAGGAGGTGGTCATAGCATGCTTTAATGTACCTTTTACTTTCATCTTTTGAATCTGACAAAATCTATATGTTTATTCCAGCTTTAATAAAATGGAGCTTACACAGTTCTCACAGAGCTAGCTTTCCACAAAAGGGGGAGGTGATGGGGGTGAATTACTTCAGATTTGCTGCAAGGGAGGAGAGAGAAAATTATTTTAGATTTGCTGCAAGAGCCATGGCAGGAAACAAAGGCAGAGATGGTCTGGTATGATAGGGTTGTAAGGCTTGTCCTGATAACTAGAGGACTTGAGTAAGCACTGAGAGATGCCCTCCTACAAGGACTTTACTAAGACTGCGTGCTCAGTGTGCTCCCTGGAACTGCAGCACACATACATTTCCCTGCAAAAGTGTGTCCCTCTCTGTCAGCAAAAGGCGATGCTGAAGCTCTCAGCCGAGCACTGAATTTCTGGCAGTACAGAACAATGCAGCTTCCAGTTGCTGCTGCACAGAGAATTAATCAGGGCTGAAGAACTGGAGCAGAGCAAGCCCTGCAGCTTCCGAGAGAGTGGTTGGTTGTCACCCTGGTCATCTGTCCCCAGCTGACGTGACACACAAAGCACACAGGGGAAGCATGAAGAGTTTGCTCTCTGCTCTCTCCCATGCTTTGAGTGAAAATACAGGTTGCACCTTCATCCCTCTGATCTAGCTAAGTGGCTAGGTGTGGGAGGGGAGCATGTTTCTCCTCTGACAGTGGCTGTAGATCAGTAGTGATAGTGCTTGGCACAGAATGCTTTTTTTTCCTGGCTGGACTTATTCTAGTGGCAATTGTCTCTTTCTCCTTTCCTTCCCCTATGCTTGTGCTTGGAGCGCTTGCACCAAGAGAAACCGACCTGTTCTAGGATGCCAGGGCAAAAAGCGTGAATTAGAAACCAACCTCCTGTGGAGTTATCAAGAGGGAAATACAAGAGTCATGCAGCATTACAAACTAACACTTGCATTTTATCAAGTTTGAAAATAATGGAAATTTTAGGAGCTTGAAGTCATTCAATTGGTCAAAAAAAAAAAAGTGAAGACTACTTAGCTCTAAAAAATTAATTTGATTCTCCCAAACAACTTCCTCAGAGTGGTGCTCTTCAGCCAAATAAGTTTCCCAAGGTGTAGGGGGCAGAAGAGAGTGAGAGAACATGTCTATTATGTATCTGTTTGTTAGCAGACGAGCTTCTTGATCTTGGAAGGGGAACAAATTATGAACTTCAGAATAAAGAAACAGTGGAAAATAGGTCTGTGACTGAAAATGCTCAAGTCCTATCTAGTGACATTTTTGTTTTAACTGAAGCAGATGGCCAGCCTGATGACAGTAGCTGCCACTACTTTCTTATCTTTCATTGCACCTTGGCACTAGTCCGAATGCCACTACAGCTGCATCCTCTCCCACTAATGTAAGCAAGGGGTCAAAGAGTGCAGTTCTGACATGCTTTCTGCCTTGTGCACAGCTAGCATATGGGCACACCAAGGAAGGGAAACATCTTGGGTTTGAGTATTTTTTCCAGCCTGAGCGTAAGGGTGAACTTCTCTGACGAGTTCACCTGGCTCCTCTCCCTGAGTCATCTAGAGCTACAGGAGAAAAGAGAGAAGGTGAAAGCCAGATACCAGCTAACAGCTTTCCACCCTTGGACCAGTACAACTTAGAACAGCGAGGAAAGGCTATATCCGAACTACGCAATTGTGTTACTCCAGTGCAAGTAAGCCTAGGCTGGGCTGCTCTGCTTCCCCATCCTTGCTGGAGCTTTCCTGCATCAGTATACTGGAGATAAATGTGCCAACTCTATTACCATTGTACACTTCCCCATTTCTCCCTTTTTTTAATGGAGACACTGAAGAAAAGTTTGCCAGAGACTCTCTCTTAAGGCTCCAGGAGTCCTTTCAGAAATAAGGCCTAGACTCAGCTTGAAAAGCCAGACAGTACACAGCAAACTGTGTGTCTGGGGGAGCAGGATGCTGCTCCCGCATAGAGCAATGAGGTGAAAGTCCCACAGTTGGGAGGCATGAGAGCAAGCTGCAGGAAGGTGGGCTGAACTAGCCTTTTAATAGAAATATCCACAGAAGACCATGCACAAACATGCTGTCCCTGCAGTCAGAACTGCTGTCCCACAGAGCAACATGGGCAGACAGGTGGGAAGAACAAAAGGTGCTGTGGAAGCACTGGGACAGATAAATTTCTGACATACACAGGAGAAGGCCACATATCACAGAATATTTGAAGCAGGACAGCAGAAAATTGCAAAAAATTCTGCTTTGAGTCTAGGACAGGACAGATAAAGGCCCAACACCATTCTCCCATTACACAAGTAGACTCAAACATAAGACATCACTCAGCACCAACGTCAATTTAATTCTTCCCTCTTTGGGAACAGGGCAGATAGCCCTGAGGGTTACATCAGCAAGCAGAAAGAAGGGTAAAGGACAAACTGTGCTGGGAAATCCCAGCTAAACATGCTGGCAACTGAACCATTCTACTCAAGACAGCCCAGACCTGGGTGGGTGAAGAGCATAGTTCTTCTGAGTCACTGAGGTGAAGTCCACTCAGCTGGCCAAAACTGCAACCCAAAGGACAGGTCCAGGAAAACAAAACCAAGTCTTCTTCCTGCTGTTCTGTCCTGTCCTGTTCCTAAGAGGCAGCAGGTTATTATGGCCCTATGCAGCCCCAAAAGTAGTGAAGGAAGCAAGTCCAAGTCTGTGAAACTACAGGGTCAATGCAATGGCTTTGGCTGTTGTGTTCATTATAGCATTGGAAACAACTGGAATGTCTCGGGCAACTCTCTGAAAGGGCGGCATGTTGGGTCCTTCCAATGTGTCCAGGATACCTGCAGGGAACAGAAAAAAGGGGAGAGTGGCAAAAGTAAGTTCAGATGCAGACAGCATGTTTCTTCTGCTTTTGGCTCTGGCCAGGTAGTGGTTGATGCTGGCAGGGCCCAGGACACACAAAGCACTTGCAGGCAATGGGAAGAGACATCTAGCCCCAAAGACTGAACAGGAGTAAACCCCTCCATCCAGAGACCACAGGGTACAGATCAGAGCTTGTCCTTGGGGCAGGGAAACTGCATGTTCCCAAGAGGAACATAGATCCTTTCACTTTGAGGGTGTCAGATCCAGTGCCCTGCCATTTGACCTGAATATAGACACTGCCAGGGATGCTGCTCTGCCAAGGCAAATTGATAAAATCCTCTCCCCATATCATCCCAGCACAGATCCTGCTCTTAAGACCAATTGTTTGCTTTCATCCTGAGATACACTTGCAGACTCATAGCAGGAGCTGCAGCTGGGGGTGCAATGTGGAATTTTTATCACTGCAAACACAGACTGTGCTTGGCAGGAAAGACTCATACTGATTGATGCAAGTGTCCTTCAGTCCCTGTCAATTACCCTCTCAAGACTGATAATCATTCTTGGAGTGCCTTGAAGAAAATTGCTTGGAATGTATTTTATCCTATTTCATCTGCAGAAAAGTTGCAGATCAGGGCTCAGAACCTTTGCCATAAGAACGGATCCAGGAAAGAACAGTATTTACATCTAAAAGGACTTCTAGTGCTATGCTATAACCCCAAATTATGCAGATTTATCTGAAGTATCATGAACGGGTCTAGCTGCCTAAAGTCATAAAGATGCTAGCAGAACTACATATTTAGAGATCTGGAAACTCGCTGGGTTGGGGGAAGGCTTTTTTGTTTTATAAGGAGATTGAGACTTTGTTAGGAGAAAACAAAGACAAACACAGAAAGAGGACCTGAACATGTACAGCCTGGTAAACAGCACCGACTGGGGAAGGTACAGCTTCTGCTGCGTTGTACAGCACAAGATAAAAAAAGGTGTTATGCAAAGACAGAAAAACATATTTCCTGATCAGAGAAAAGCAACCTGACTTGAGCAAGACTTGAGAAGGGACTGGACATCTGTATGCAAGAACAGTCAGTGCTGTTACACTGCATTTGTGGGGAAAGAATAAGTGTCCTGTCTCACAACTTAGGTCTTAAGTGCTAAAACTCAGCGCACAGAAATTACCCCACATCTACCTGCTGCCTTTCTTTGACAGCTTCCTCTAATAAAGCTAGTGCTGGTCATTCTTGGATTGGAATCTGAAAACAGATCCAAACTGTCCATTCTTTCTCTCAAAGAGAGCAAAAAGCAGCTCCTCTTCCCCCAGATCTAACAGGGTATGTCTTTGTACCTCCTTTGCTTACCTTCTACCACCTTGTGATAAGCAAAGTGCAGATAGAGGAGGAAAAGCATATGCAGAGCAGCAAGGGTCCCACATAGGATGAGCCGCTGGGTATGCCCCACAGTGCGTGACACCAACACAGCAACCTAGGAGAAAAGTGGAGATTACAGACAAGGTAGCTGCTACCTGAGCCTCTGGCACAGCAGTCCGAAGCACACAGGAGGATGGGCCAAGCACCAAGAGCCAGTGGAAACAGTGCTCAGAACCTTTTTCGCAGTTTGCACCAACAAACTCAGAGTAATCTGACTTTGTTTTGTGTAGGTGAACCTTGCCTGATCTTGCCAAGACTGCAGGATGCTCAGGCATGAGTCTCCATGGCAGCAGGGGCTGTAAGAGACCAAACCTCCTGTAGCTGTTCTGTTAAGAGTGGGTGAGGATATTAATCAGCATCACTTCCATACACCAGTGGCCAAATGACCCAGGAGTGTGAGGCTGTCCTTCACAGCAGCCTGACTAGCTGTGAAATGAACTGCCGGGCCCAAGGAACAGAAAGCAAACACCACTTCCTTCCGTTTTTTTGTCTCCAGAAGAGGAGGACCTGTCCCTTACCATTCGTAGTGTAGAGAGTCCACCAACACTCAACCAGAAGACATAGAAGAGGGAGTGGAAGTGGATATTATAGGTGACAAAGAGAGTGATGCAGTGTCCAAAAAGACCATAACCCTGACAAAACAAAAACGTCAATGTTACAAGCATCAGTCCCACACAAAGGGCCATTGATCAAGAGCATAAGCAGCCTATTCCTGCAACGCTTCACCAAGGCAAAGCTTCACAAACTACTCATTCAATGCCAGTCAACCAGCACAACAATTTTAACAGCAGCTCACACCCAGGTAATCTGTCTGAAGGGATGTCTGAGATTGCAACAACTTCAGAAACAGAGCAAGGAGCCTCTGATTCCAGAGGAATTGGTATCTCCTGTTTTTTTATCACCAGGTTCTCAGATCAGGATGTGCAAAGCAGGAGACCTGCATGAAGGAACTGCCATCTTTGTACTGTTACTGTGCCTGGGATGGGGCAGGTTAGAAGAGCATCTTGGAATCCCAGGTTGTCCCAGTGCAGCCACCTGGGACCACTGATACACAAGTTTTCCCATTCTCTGGGAAGAGCTCACAGGCCACCCTCATACTGGAACACCATGCAGCCAACCTGCATCTTGGGGCATCCCCCATCTGTACTTACCAACAGTGACAGCATCTGCACCATTGTGATTTGGGCATTGCACAGATATGCCAGGAAATAGATGAAAGAGGAGACACCCAACCAGTAACCAAAGCAGGTGCCAATGGCTGTGCCCATCAGTGTGCCTTCCCTCTGTGGAGACAGCATCAGGATGAGGAGGATTCAAAGAAGTGAGGAGGAACGTCTGGACAACACTCTTAGTCATAGTTTTAGGTATTCCTAAGTTTTAGGTATTCCTGCGAGGGGCAGGGAGTTGGACTCGATCCTTATGGGTCCCTTCCAACTCAAGATATATTCTACTATATGAGTCTAAGTGACCTGCTAGCACCCAAATTCCACTACAGAGCTCCCAGAGACTTTCCAGGCATTACCAAATAGCAGACTAGCAGCATCCAGGATGCCATGTCACCGACACCCCAGCTGTCCCAGCAGCAAAGCACCAAGATTTTCTACTGCGTCCTCTTCCCATCCCCAAACCAACAGGTTGTTCTTCCTCATATCAACACACTTTTCAGCAAGATGCTACAGGTTTCCTCTCCCTTTCTAGTGTCATTATAGCAATCCAGAGCCCAGTCAAACCCAAACTTATCACTGAGACTCGCTGTACAATGATGGTGTCCGAAGTCTTCATCCCATGCAGAAGGATGGCCACCAGTGTGAAAACCAGCATGAGGGGTCCATACAGCTCGCCTGCAATCTTCTACAGGAGAAGACATATCAGGGAAGGCTTGGTTAGTGCTCCTGAATACCAGGCTCCCAACCCCAAAGCGATGAGAGACATGCCTTGGGTGAAGTTTATCACCTATCTGCCTGAGAAGTAACAGCAAGGCCATTGCTGACAGGAACCAGGCAGAACAAGTTGTGTGATGAGGAGTCTGGGAAGCATGAAGTCTAGAGGTCTAGAACTGTACCAGCACTAAAGGTAGCACATTGGGGTTTGGAACAGCCACAGGAAAGGGTTTACTAACATTTTCAGGGAGATGAACACCTAACAAACTCAGGTCCTTAATAACATGTACTAATTAAGTTTTACAAGGTGTCTCTGGGACATTCACTTGGGCCATAGAGTCTGATTCAGCAAAAGGGAACTCACCTGTGGGAAATTAATCATCTTCACGGGAATCATGGACTCCAGCAGCCTGCATCACAGCAACGCAGGGAATGACATCAGGAGCAGGGAGGAAAAAAGCATGGTTAACAAAGTGCTTCAAAAGTAAAAGATCCCATACAACCATCGCCAGTGTTTTCTACTGTGGTTATAGGCCTTGGGGGACAGAGATGCCTTCTAAAGGATCACACAAGGTAACTGAAGAAAACAAACCTTACTGTTCATGGGTTAACTCTGCTGGAGAGATTAAATGAAAATGTTTAGAGATCCACTCAGGGATGAGAGATCATTGACAGAACAGCAAGAAGGAAAAGCACCTTTCGTCATCCAGCCTCACAAAACTTTGCCTTTTTGGACACAGCTATGTTGCAAGCCCAACAGAAGCCATGTAACACAGCTGAGTAGTAAAAGCCTGAAGATACCCCAAAGCCCTTTTTTTTCTTGCCCTGAGCAGCTCTGCTGCTGGGGGACCTCATTAAGGAGAGTGGGACAGTGTTTCCCCATACCTGAGCCTTGCTGCAAGGCTGACAGCCCACCCCAGCTTGCTCACTTTGGAGGGGCAGCCAGCCTCTCACTGGCAAGAAGCAGGCACTGTCCGCCCCACACCCCCATGCACCCCGGTGGAGATGGCCTGGGCCGGGCCCTACTCACCTGGTGCGCACTTGGATGGGCTCCACGTCGAAGTAGGGCCGGAGGATGTCGATGTTGGCGTAGAGGCTGAAGGCCCT